TTTTATTTCTTGTGCTTTAGGAGTCTTATTAAGAAAGTTCCTGTATGTGGAGTGCCTACCTTATATTTTCTTCTAGCAGTTTCATTATTTCTAGTCTAATTGTTAGGTCTTGGATCCTCTTTGAACTGATTTTTGTGCAAGGTAAGAAACAAGAGATCTACAGTTCCATTCTTCTACACATGGATATCCAGTTTTCCTGGCATCATTTGTTTAAAAGGTCATTTTCTTTCTCCAGCATGTTTTTTTTTTTTTTTTTGCACTCTTGTCTTTCCTGTGTCTATGTGGATATGTCTCTATGTCTTCAATTCTATTCCATTGGTCTTCATGCCTGTTTTGATGCCAATACAATGCTATTTTTGTAACCACAGCTCTAGTCACAAAAGAGATCTGGTATTTTGATGTCTTCAGCATTGCTGTTCTTACTCAGCATTGCTTTCGCTAATCTGAGATATATATAATTTGTTATTCATCCATATGAATTTTGGGATTATTTTTTCTGGTTATTTGAAGAATGTCATTGGTGTTTTGTTTGTTTGTTTGTTTGGTACCAGAGATTGAACTCAGGGGCACTGAACCACTGAGCCACGCCCCCAGTCCTATTTTGTATTTTATTTAGAGATAGGATTTCACTGAGTTGCTTAGTGCCTTGCTTTTGCTGAGGCTACCTTTGAACTTGTGATCCTCCTGTCTCAGCCCACCCCCTCCCCAGCCACCGGGATTACAGGCATGAGCCACCACGTCTGACTGTCACTGATGTTTTGATGAGGATTGTGTTAAATCTGTGTAACATTTTGGTAGTATGATCATTCTGATATTATTAATTCTGAATACCCAAGAATATAGGAGGTATTTCCATCTTCAAAGGTCTTAAACAATTTCTTTCTTTGGTTTTCTATAGTTTTCATTGTAGAGGTCTTTCACCTCTTTAGTTAGATTTATTCTCAAGTATTACTTTTTGAGAATATTGTGAATGCAGAAGTTTTCTTGATTTGTTTTTCAACAGATTCACTGGAGTATAAGAAAGCTATCATTTTTGTATACTGATCTTGTATCCTGCTACTTTGGTGAATTTGTTTGTCAGCAACAGAAGTCTTCTGGTGGGTTTTTTTTCGGGGGGGGGTGGTTCTAGGAATAGGATCATGTCATCAGCAAACAGATAATTTAGCTTCTTCTTTTCATATTTACATCCCTTTAATTTTCTTTTCTTACCTGATTGCTCTGGCTAGAGCTTTAAAAATATCGAATAGAAGTGGTGAGAATGAACATTCTTGTCTTTTTCTTGAATTTAGAGGAAATATTTTCATTTATTTCTCCATTCAGTATGATGTTGGCCTTGGTTTTTTCATATAGCCTTTATAAGGTTGAGAAAGTTTCTTCTATCTCTGGTTTCTCCAGCATTTTAAACATAAATGGGTGCTGGATTTTGTCAAAGGCTTTTTCTGCATTATTGAGATGATCTTGTGTTTTTGTTCTTAATTCTGTTTATGTGATTAATTACATTTATTTATTTCTGTATATTAAAACAATCTTGCATCCCCGTGATAAAACTCAGTTGGTCATGGTGTACTTTGTGCTTAATGTGTTTTTGAATGCAGTTTGCCAATATTTTATGAAGGAATTTTGTGTCTATGTTCATCAGAGATGTTGATCTTTAGCTTTCTTTCTTATGTGTCTGTCTGGTTTTGGTATCAGGGTGATGCTGGCTTCATAGAATAAATTTGGGAATGTCCCCTCCCTTCCTATTTCATGAAATAATTTGAGGAGGATTGTTGTTAGTTCTTCTTTAAAGGTTTGGTAGAACTCAGTTGAGAATCCATCTGGTCCTGGGCTTTTATTTGTTGCTGTTTTCTATGGTTTAGATATGATGTGTCTCCCCAAAGATCATGTGTAAGATAATGCAAGAAAGCTTAAGAGGTGAGGGCTGGGGTTGTAGCTTAGTGGTACAGTGCTCGCTTTGCATGTGGAAGGTACTGATTTGATCCTTAGCACCATATAAAAATAAAACAAAGGTATTGTGTCCATCTACAAATTTAAAAAAAATTAAAAAAAGAAAGTTTAGAGGTGAAATGATTGGGTTATGAGAGCTTTAACCTAACCAGTGCATTAATCCATTGCTATGGATTAATAGGGAAATAACTATAGGCATGTAGGGTGTGGCTGGAAGAGACAAGGTGTGGCTTTGGGGTTTACATTTTGTCCTTAGAGAGCAGAGGTCTTTCTTTGCTTCTGTATTGCCATGTTTTCAGCTGCTTTCTTCTCACATGTTCTTCTGCTTTGAAGTTCTGCCTCACCTTGGAACAAGAACTGAGACCTCTGAAACTGTGAGCCCTAAATAAGCTTTCCTCCTCTATGTTGTTCTTGTCAGGTCTGTTGTTCACAGTGATGAAAATCTGGCTAAAACATTGTTTCAATATCATTGCTTGATATGAGTCTGTTTATGTTTTCTATACCTGCATGTTTTAATTTGGGTCAGTCATATGTTTCTAAACATTTGTCAATATCATATAGATTTTCCAGTTTATTGGAGTATGAATTCTCAAAACAGTTTGTAATGATGCTCTGGATATCAAAAGTGTCAGTAACTTTGATTTGGATCTTCTCTTTCTTTTGGATTTATCAATCTTGCTTTCAAAGAACCAACTCTGTTGCATTGTTCCTTTATATTGTTTTTTATTTTCAATTTTATTTATTTCAGCTTTGAGTCTAATTATTTCTTGTTTACTACTGATTTTGGAATTAGTGTT